CATCCACCCATTCACTACACTATTTTCTTTCAACAGGAACATGGGCTCCAACTACCCTCTCCGCGGTGGCAAAGACATGCTGTGGGAGGGAGGGGTCAAAGGAACAGCCTTTGTGTACAGTGATCTCATTCAACATAAAGGTCGTGTTAGTCATGATCTGATTGACATCACCGACTGGGTACCTACTATCTACCACCTGGCTGGAGGGAACGCTGAACTCCTTCATGGATACTTAGATGGAAAGAATGTATGGGAGACAATATCTCGTAGAGGGAAACTATCACCAAGAGATGAAATATTGCATAATATTGACCCGTGGTGGGTGATGTATCTGTTATTATTAAAGCGTAAATAATCGATGAAAACGATGCGAGAGTCCAAATCTGTACCTTGTAAACGATCGTACAAATCGCCCGCTCATATTGTATATGTATATATATATATATATATATACCTAAACTCGCGCAGTCAGCAGAAGAGTTGAAACTTACAGTGTCTATCGACAGCTTTAGGAGTTAACAAAGTGTTTTCATTGATTTGCAATCCGACTTTTTATACAAACGCCTTGAATATTTCACTATAGTAGATTGATGCATATATTTGTTGGAATTCAGGCGTAAATTTGAAGCGATTCGCAAAGGCCGGTACAAGCTGGTGGTCGGTATGGACGATACGTATCAGGTTGGATGGCACCCAAGGTACAAAGGAAGAGATATCTCGTTGCTAAGGCAACCGGATACGTTACCAGGAGCTATCCTCCGTTGTGGTGTGTGGGATAAAAGTAAGATGTGTGATTCGAGTAAAGGAAAGGCTTGTTTGTTTGATATGAAGAAAGGTAAGAGTCAGTCTCCTACTACGACGTCCTCTACACAGTCGCTATTAGTATCGTCACGCGACTTAGGGAAGTGGGCGTTGCGTGACGACACTAATATCTACTTAGGGGAGTGAGCGTGGCGTGACGACACTAATAACTACTTAGGGGAGTGAGCGTGGCGTGACGACACTAATATATACTTAGGGGAGTAAGCGTGGCGTGACGACACTAATAACTACTTAGGGGAGTGAGCGTGGCGTGACGAAATTAATATATACTTAGGGAAGTGGGCGTTGCGTGACGACATTAATAACTACTTAGGGGAGTGAGCGTGGCGTGACGAAACTAATATATACTTAGGGGAGTGAGCGTGGCGTGACGACACTTATATATACTTAGGGGAGTGAGCGTGGCGTGATGACACTAATAGCGGCTGCGTAGGAGACTAGGCAAGAGTCTGATGTTAAGCAAGTTTGTGGCGCGCGTTTAATGAGCCGTACGTTTTACGGATGAATGAATAGATAAAGAATTAAAGAAGGAGGGGTAGGCTCCCGAAACGGCGAAGAAAGAAAGGAATCGAAGAAATGAGGAAGGGAAGGAAGGGAGGGACGGAGGGAGAGAGCGAGGAATGAAAGAAGGAAGGAAAAGGATGAAACGAAGGAAGAAACAAAGGTGGGAAAAAAAACCAAGCAAGCAAAGCAAGGAGAGAAGCAAGAGGTAATAAAGAAAGCGCTCATAGCCAAATGGATCAAATAAATATACAGAATAAATGGAATGGGTGGAATTGAACTGGATTGAATAGAATAGAATAAATATCTGGGTGGACGGGCGAATGATTTAAAAAGATATGCAAACTTTGTCTTTTCGCAGATCCTTGCGAATACCACGATATATCTTCAGATCTTCCCCACATCGTACAAGAATTAAAAGAACGCCTTGATTTCTATCGTAAATCATCGCGCCCGGTGTGGTACCCTGGCATCGATAAGAACGCAAACCCCGCTCGGTTCGGTGGTTTCTGGGGCTCTTGGAAAGAACTTAAAGACAACAGCAGTCTAATAAACGCATGGAACTCTGTGTGGAAACTCGCAAATATACAACGAAATGCCGCACAAAGGAAAGTTAAAGGAGTGAGCAGCGCTGCACACGGCAACACTGGAACATCTGCCAACGGTATTATTGACTTAGCTTGGGAGCAAAGTAAGCCATTGGCTGACTCTATGGAAGACAATGGAGCGACATTAACATGGACACCGAATAAACCAATAGAAATACACTCCAGTGAGAAACCTAAGGACCACGTTGATAGGTTTTATTACCATCGGTTTTCTGATTCAAGAAATGAGTATTCGTTGGAGTAATTGGAGCTTATTAGGGACGGACCATTAGATTTTTGAGGGGGTGGGCAAAAACCAAAAAAATTCAAATCATGTCCAAAAAAACATTCCTGCAAAAAATAAATAGCCCAACCCCCCCCCCCCCTCAAAAATCTAATGGTCCGTCCCTTAGAAGAATAGGCTCCGAAGAATGTAAACATTTAGCAAGCCCTACTTTGACATGCCGATTTGTGAAGATGGTTTTTTGGCTAAAGACGAGAGAGCGAGAAGAGAAAAATTTCATTTCAAAAAACAATTCTATAGAGGAAAAAAAACGGAAGCTTGGTGAAATTTGGAATCAAGAAATCAGGACGAAGAATAAAATCTAAAGTTCTGCTCCATGAAAAAGAATAGAAATATTAA